CTCGAGAGAGTCACCTGGCCTCATGGAACCCAGGCAGTTCCCGTTACGGCGGTGGGCTGCGGGCCTGGTTTCGGTTACGGTCTGGCTGCGGTTTCTGTTACGCGTCGCGTTCGTTGCCGTTACAGCGTTACCGTCGAAATGGTTCCCGTTACACCCCGCACCCCAACTGACGTGGTCAAGGCAAAGCAAGCGAGAGACAGGCTCCGGTGACTGAGCGTAGCCAGCGGCACGGACACAACGTTTAATTACTCATGTGCATTGCCTTTGAACACCTTCCGCCAGAGGGAAAATTTGGAGGAGCGTGGTTTACACCGTTTAAACACCGAGCTAAACATAGAGACATTGGGCGTTTAATTCCGTTTTGCATTTAGTTGGCTTCTGCATTTGGCTGCAAGGAGCGTTGGATCTGCAAGTGCCGGTGGCGGCCGAAAGCGAAGAGGCGCAGCACGTGTCACAGATTCGATTCATGGCACCTGCTTACTACATGTCCTTCGCATTATTCTCTCAAGAAACAGCGCGGCTCGTGAGCAGTTTCTTGGCGCTACCTTGCTGCCTGCCGAGCCGCCGATGCTGTTGTGCGTGGTGCGTCTGCCCCACAGAAGATGAGCCATGCTGCGGGCACTCAGGAGGGTGAATGAACCTCCTGCTGTTAAGCAGGCTACGGCCTTGCTTTTCTATCTAGAACCGAAGTGGTAAGCCGCCTTTCCTGGTCTCGAGGATTGGGTACTGGCGTCTGCTCTGCTTTCCTATCCTGTCTTCAGCAATGGGCAAAAAGATGCAAAAAGGCAAGGTATGGGAGTTGGGCTGAGGTCAGGTTTCCGAAAGAATGACGGATAATCACTAAACACAAGCTGCATGTAGACTTGCCAGGCATGTGCAGGTTCAGCGATCTATTCACGATTTGAAAAGGCATCTGACATGAACAAGCATGGCATTGACCTGCCAGTGGAAAGGTGCTGGGGCCTCCCGTCTATCCTCAGGGATGGTGAGCACTGAAAGCCTCGTTGCAGCCATGAGTCCAAAGGTGGCGCTCTCAGACATGACAGGCAGCTGACGACCTTGCAACAGAACGCACATTGCCTGCAACACCTGTGCAGAAAGTTGGTTATCAGGCCAGTAGGCACGTGTGACACTTGGTCTGTGGTGGCAGGGTATGGCAGGGTCAAGCTTGCGCCCTCTTGCAATCAACAAGTCACCTCTGAGATAGTAAAGTCGGGTCGTAGTGAGTCGTAGAGCTACTGGACGCAGAGGCTTCGAAGACAGGGTTGGAGTCACTTCTTGGCGAGGAGGTGCTTCAAGCAACAGTTTGAAGGAGTACAGCTGAGAGCCGATGAAATGGCAGGGCGTGGACCTGACGTTTCCAGAACTTGGACGCAGGACATCTCAACGAAGAAAGGCCCATGCGATGACTGACCATGGTCTTGTGCCTCTCATTGTCAACCCCCCTTGGACAAAGGTAGAGCGCAAGAAGCTGGACAAGGCCTGCTGTTTCCAACAGCAAGGGCTACATGAAACAGTGGTACAAAGACCTGCGAGGTGCTTGTATTCCAGTGCTGCTAGCAACCCCTGACAGTCAGACCGGGTTCTCATGTCATTGTTTTCCTTGAAGAAGGCCACGCGCTTCCTGCCCATTATCCTCCAAGCTAATCAGCAATGCGATTGCAGCAGCTGCTGAAAAAAGAAGAAAGTGAACGCTATCTAGAATTGGACTAGTTGGATTCAGGTTCAGGCCGCCCGAAAACATTGAACAAGCTAATCCATTTTTCTAGATCAATGGGATTCAGACTCAGGCTCCCCAGTCTGGTGACGGAAATTGCTACTTTAGCAGAAGAAGTGTCTGCCCTCTGCCTGCTCTATTGGGCCTCATCTCGTTACAGCTCGGAAGCTTTGCAGACACATGGATACTGCATGCCAGGTGGATGATGCAGACGTTAGATCCTCCAGGCGCCTATGCTACAGTCATCTGCCGGCTTCTGTTTGTTGCGGCCAGGCGCCTCCAAGGCAATTCTCTGCCAAAGCCTTATTTGGGCAAGCAGCGTCTTGCAGCACAATAAAAGAATGGGTCCTGATGCACTCCACAAGACCTGTTGCTCTGCCGGGTGGCGGGACGCAACATGGCGCTGTGCGCAAATTTATGTCCTCCAGTCCAAGGAAACTGGAGGTTCTATGAGTTTTTTGCTTGTGATACTTCTGCAAGAGGCGTCAGACTCTGCTTGATTGATTGATTGGTTGATCGGTGTTCTAGGAACTTATACCGACCAACCTGCAGCAAAGCCTTGATATGAGACTGTTAGACTCTGCGCAGTGCGCCGTTTGAGCCCTCACGCTGCCTTGTGACAAACGCCATTGGCCGACTCCACCATAATACGGTATTGACGCTACAGAATTATGCCTTACGTCATCGAGATGGTGCTGAAGGAAATGCCCAAGTGTCCAAACCAGCTTGCATGTGGCTCCACGCGTATCCGCGCATAAGGTTCTTGTTGGTTCGATACGGATCTGCCAAGAACTGGACTTTCCCGAAGGACATGAGCATAGTACTCTTACGCACTGCAGGCAGCTTGAGCATATTGGCCACACTTCCAGGCAGATCGGCTGCATGGCCACACAATGCGAGAAACTCTGTTGTCTTCTCAGCGTTGAGTCGTTGGGAGTTGTTACTGAGTTGGTCGGAGTCATGTTCACACTTGTGCTTTGGAGCTGCCTGCGCGAGGCTAGAATTGGCAGAGCAACAGCTTGGACAAGAATTTGCGCCGTACTTGGTCGCCTTCTTACAAGGATCACCGTTGACTGAATGTCTGCGCAGAAGGCAACGCGTTTTGCTTGCAAGGTGGGTGCCTGTCCCTTCACGTACCGAAAGCGCCTGAGCACCCAACACTCGGGCATTCAGGCAAGCTAGCTTTTGCCATGTGAGCCTGTATGAATCTTGTGCACGAGTGTCGCAGGGCCGGAAAATCTTTTACTATCGAGCTCGGCTAGTTCCAGGGTCAGAGCAACTTGTCTGCGAATTTGCCGCCACTAGAACTTCCGAATGTCAGCATCAACCGAAAGGGGTGGCGTGCTGGGGGCCTCAATCTTTTCTGGAGGGGTTGGGGTGTGTGTCTTGAAGATCTCCGTCACAACCGACTCCCTAACCAAACATTGTCTGAATTAACTGAATTGTGCTGCGCTTGGTGATCCCACAGAATGGAAGTGTGGGAATCACTCTTGAGGCTTACTTGCGGATATCCGTTGTTTGCGGATGTTTGCGGACAGATCCATCGCGTAAAGTAGACGCGTCCCAGCGGAATTAAGTTGGTATCTATGTCTATCACCCAAGTCTCTCAAGTTACTTACCCTGCATGTTTAGGGTTCCCGGCTATGTGGACTAGGAACAATTGGAACCATTTCAGTGTCGCAACAATCGTTCTAGTTGGGCGCTGACATCTTCGCCAGTCAGAAGTGTTTACAATCATGTCCAATGTGGTATACGAGAAAAGGCTTGGTCGAGCGTACGTTGGCCACCCCATCGACCGCATGTCATGGTGCGTCGTGTCTCGATACGTGTATCTTGATTACAGCTCTTACATCGGGCCCCTCTGTTTCCGCAAGACAACACACCGTTGCTTTGCAGGAGCCGTTTTGCATCATCTGCTTCCCCAAGACACAGCACTGTGGCTTTGCAGCAGCCGCTTTGCAGCAGCTGCTTCCCCAAGACACAACACACAGTTGCTTTGCAGCAGCCGCGGCAAATGGTGAGCAGACACTTCAGCTGCTTCACAACAGGATGGGTGGATGCTGGCCAGCAGAAAAATCACAGTCACAATTGCTTCCCTGCAGCTGCTTCTCAAGAATGCTATGCAGCAAACTTGAGAGTTCTGTGTCTTCGCAGCAGAAAAGATTGATTGGTACTTGGCAGCTGAAGATTTATGAGCTTGTCACAGACGTGCACGAACTTTGCGACCCCATGGCGAGAGATCACAGGGGGTCAGGCTCGTTGGTGACCGTTAGTGCGTCCTCCCTCAAATCGTTTGTCCTAGCTTTCCAAGTTAGTGGCTTCTGGATTTGGTAAAACGGCAAAACCTAACAAATGTGCCTGTCGTGCTTTTACGCCGTTTACGCATTTTTGCAGAAAAGGCGGTTTTATGCTTTTACGCTTTTACACTTGTGCGCAGCAGGAATGTTTTTATGCTTCTACGCCTTCGCGCAGCAAGAACCGTTTGCATGTCTGCACTTGTACCTTTTTGCGCGTTCACGCAGCAGGAGCGGTTCTGCACTTCAGCACGCGGACGCTTTTAACAGAGCCCCCTTGTTGAAGGACATTTTGCAATTTGTTGGGTTTTTGTGGGTCCCGTTGGGTCTTTGTGGGCGCGAATCGTTAACAAACATGAGTAGCTGGACCCTTTAACCCTTAAGCAGCCATCGAGCATGTTGTTCGGCTTCGTCGAGCTCTCCTCTGTTTGTTTTCAATAATGAGGGGTCACCCTAAACTGGTGATATATAGGAATATCTGCAGGCTCTACAAGTCTTAAGGTTCCAGCTACAAGGGGTCTTCTGTGGGGGTCTTTATAACTTATAGCTTATAACCAGTCTTCTCTCGTTTGGTGGCATATACTGGGGATCTCCAAGCAGAGGACAATTCCCCCAAGTCCAAACTGGAAAAATACTGCATGGCTTAGCAAGGGGGCGCGGTACCAAAACACAGATCTCCAGCTGCAACAGGACTGGGACCTTCTAGGGGGTTACTACAAGGACACGCGTGCGTAAGGCGCAGCACGAACGCTCATGTGGTCGGGGCATGGATGCTCTGGTCAACGTATGCTCTTGAATACGCTATGATGGTTTGGGCATGCATGCTCTGGTCAACGCTCTTGCAAGATGTACCTTCTTATGGTCTGGGTGTGGATGCTCTGGTCACCGTGCGTGGTTGGAACACGGAGATTAGTAGGTTTTTTGCCTGGATGTTGTAGGAATTCCTCGTGGAATGGACGTTATTAGAATTTGGTATGATTTGGGCATGCATGCTCTGGTCGCCGTACACACTTGGGACACACACGTATAATGGTTGGGGCATGGATGCTCTGGTGATGCGATGCACTCAACATAAACGCTATTATGGATTGGGCATGGATGCTGGTCACCGTGTGCTCTTGCAACACGACGGTTTTATGGTTGGACATCGTGTGCCTTGACATTTGGACGTGGAAATACAAGAATAGCTTTGGGGCATCTTTCGGTCACATGTAAAGATTCAATGCATGCTACGTTTCCTTTTTGATTTCTAGGTTTGCCAAGGGGTCTATGCGTTATAAGCAATCCCTTCACCCTCCTCGTGCTCGCAAATTCTGGCCAGCGGCCTGGTAAAACG